CGCCTACCAATTTCTGCTCTACTGAGCGCAATCATTCGAGCGTGATAACACGGGACGTATATTATATGTAATACACGATACGAGCTGCTGTGGCGGTCGCAATTATCCCGCACATTCTCCATTATTTCCTGTAGGTCAGTGTGAAATTCATTGCTTTCCATTTGCGATGTTTCCCGCGTGCGTCGTATTCTTTTTTCTGCTATTTGTTTGTGCGCATGCGCAACCAACGCTGTTCCCGCCATTTCGGTTGTTGACGCGCGAGTTGCCATGACAACGTATGCGCAACAGGATGCGTAGATCCCGATAATTATGGGTTACGTAAAATCTGTCTAATGACATGTGATTTTTGCGTCAAATATGCATTCGTGAATCTTTTATGTGAATAGTACGTCAGGGGGAATGAAAAATCCAGAAGAGATTGATGAAGTACTTTCGAAGATGTGAATATAAAGGTTAATACTTGTTCTTTTTCTTTTTGTTTAAGTAAAAGGTAGTTAATGTTTTAATCCTTTGAAAAGTTCGTGGGTTTTCATACTTATAATTGATGGTTTGGTTAGAGTAGTTGAATGTGCCTCGATGCTTCGAAAGGTTAGATGTTTTAAATACGTATAATTGATGGTTTAGTTAGAGTGGTTAATGTTTTGTGGAAAATGAAAAGTGGTGTTTTCTAACCTAACCATGAATGTGAAAGTCTGCTGTCCCCTGCGGGTATTGTAATTACAATCACATTATTCCTTTATAAAACTTTTATTATTCTTTAGAAGAATAATTACTTCTTGATAGTGATTGATACCTAACCTAAATCTTGGAAAAACTCGAAATGAGATAGGAAGATGCTGTATGCAATGTGTTGTTTTTTAAAGTTTATCGATATAATTATCACGGTGAAATAACGTCGTAGTAATGAAAAATCTACGATTGTGTATTTATACGATATTTTTCCAACATCGCAGTGAGTACAATTTTACAATATTTGACACTTGAAAAACTTTCTGCATGACGTAGAATTCCTCGCGATATCTGAAATTTTCAAGCAACCAGTAGTTTACACATTCCTTGCATAAAAATCCAGTCAAATTTAATTCATTCTCGAGATAAACGATTGTACAAAACGACGAAAAGATCTGGATTAAAATTTCCTTTGTTTCGGCCGGATAGCTGAACACGATTCGTTTTTATTGTGTCGTGGAATTCGAGATTTCACTTGATAACTACATATAGTCCACAGTGCAGGTGTTTTTATAAACCGTCCGTGTGCAAAGTGAAAGTTGTTTTTTTCCCGAGAAAATCGTGAAAAAGTCGTAAGATTTTCCTCTGCAGGTTAGAAATCGCGTTACACTTTATTTTATTGTCCTAACGCGAGGCAGAAAAGTATACGTGCATCGAACTACAATGATGCGAATGTAGATTGAAAAATGCTAAAAGACCTTCGAGCTATTTTCATCTTGATCGTCACGGTTGCTGATGATCATGCGAATTGGATGCCTTTATTGGTCCTCTGTCGATAAGTAGTTCAACTCTTCTATACCAACTATTATATTTTCGAACCATTTTAAATTGAAGAAAAATGAAATCAATTAATTTCTTTTATTTCTGTTGGAAAAAATTTAAGTCTCCTTTTTCATCGATATATTTAAATTCATAGCGGAAATAGGAGAATCGGAATGTACATATAAAGGCAGATACGCAAGTGAAAAAAAATAGCAAATAATGTAAGCTTTCAAAGTTTATGAATCTAAAAATCATGAGCATCATTTAAAGAAAAATGAAAGAAATATTTGTCCAATTGTGACTGGGTCGTTCTCATCATAAATGTTATCAGTAATCGTAAAGTGTAGGAAAAATTAGAAAATTTTCTGTATCATTCCGTAACATTCCAAACAAATATTTCCGCAACTTTTTAACACGATCGGCAATTAATCTTGCGAAAATCGCTAACTTTCAAATTCACTGCAGGCGAACAACCGGTCTTCGTACGTTTCTTCATGTATCACTTCCTTTTTACTCCGTTAAACGATCATTACCAGATATACACCTCGTTACGATCACACCTAGCCACAGTTGGAAACTCCGCGATAAAAATTTGTTTCGACGATCATTAGTCACTATTAAACCATTGATCATTGCTAATCGCACCTGTTGTACGCATTATCCACGATCATCCTAAATACCATCGCTCCTTTCCCCGTTTCTATTCACTTTCTTCCAATTCTTGTTTCTATTTACGGGACAGTAATTACTCGGATGCCTCGGTCACGGTTACCATGTTGCGCGGAAAGGAGAATTCGATCGGCTTTCACCGAATAATTTATTTCCCTTGTACTTACTAAGGCACTTTTGCCGGACAACAGGTACACACGCATATATATGTGTGTATGCTCGTATTTAATCGGACGAAAGCAGGATACCGGTGTAATCGAGCATGACCTATCGATAGGTCGCACGTTCTAACGTCGAAAATTGATTTGAACCCGATAATTAAGTAGTCGCCGGCTTGTTGCTGTCTGAATATTAAAATGTAACGATTAATGGCCGATTTGAACGTGTTTCGCCACCTTCTAATCAATTTCTGCGGGAATTTTTACTTGCAACCTGCAACATTTCTAATTGGAATTTTTAATTAAGTTTTTTTTTTTTTTTTAGCGATATGTAGAATTTCAGAGTATTTTATTTTCGTAAAAGATCATCTCTAGAAATTGGTGTTTCTCATTTGTAATATTTAATTGATTATTGAAGAAACATTTTTTATAAATTTAACAGTACTGTAGAGTACATTTTGAACGAAGAAATGGCCGAGAGGAGTGTTTTCCTAATTTCGTTAGAAAATTTCTTGGCACTCGGAGCGAAATTATTTATTCAATCTTAACCCGGTAACCGCATTTCTGGAAATAATTGAAACGCGCTGGACTTTTTAATCTGACTTTCGTTTCGGTAGAAATTGCCTGGAGATTCAAGTCTAGAATAATTAAGAATGGAGTACAATTTTTCGTCACTTTTAAGCACTGTGCGTGAACGATACGGAAACTGTCGCTTTTATGGAATTCCAAATTTAAATTCGAATCCAGCGTCAACTTGGTTAAGTTTCATTTCAAACGGTTAAATTTCAATGCGAATTTTTAGCGTTAAATTGTAACACGTTTTTGCCCAATTGATTCTTCCCGATTTCATTCGTAAGTGATACACAACTTGTACCTACATAATTATTATCTAGAGAGAAGTATAATTGGTATCATTAACTATCGATATCAACTGTCGCTTAATTTCGAATCACCCCGCGCACGCACGCTCCACGTGAAAACATTCCGGATGTCGTCGAGAGTGGAAAAAATTGTAATAACTGGTATCTCGGGGAAAGCATAAATACCGTGAGATTTTTACAAGTCGTATCATTTTTCTATGGTTTTTGCTGGGGGAAAATGGTCGCGGTGGATTTCTAGCAAGCCTATGAAGCTCATTTATTCAGCTAATCGAAATTTACCTTGCTTTTCGATCATTTCACCAGCGACGCTTTCATGCTTTTTGAATTTGCGTTAAAAACGAAAAGTTTCGCAATTTAAATAAAAGAGTATGAAAAAATCTCGAATATTGTTTATGTTAATTTGGGCATGTTTAGTATATGTAGTATAAATATTATTACATTTAATTTCCAATTAAAAAATTTATTATAAATGACTTGTACAATGATTAGTTATTTTTTTATAGTTTTATTTATTTACTTTATTGGTTATTTTATTTATTTTTTAAATTTGTTTTTTAGTGTTGTCCAATTTTCTGATAAGGAGAAGTGTCTTCCCTATGAATGTGGGTTTTCTCCTATTTTTAAATTTATATTGCCTGTTTCTGTGCCTTTTTATTTAATTTGTTTGATATTTTTAATTTTGGACATTGAAGTAGTTATGATTATTCCTTATGTGTTTTTTTTTTATTATTTGGATTCTTCTTATATTATAAGTATATTTGTTTCGTTTTTGTTGGTTATATTTCAGACATTTCTCGAAATGTAGACTACCAGAATTGAAACTCGAAATTTCGTAAGAGTGAAAGTCGTTAAAATTGGAGCGCGACGGTGTCCCAAAAATCATATCTGCGGTTCGAATCGTGCGTGTATATTTTTAAGGGCGCGTCGTTGTCAGAAAGAAGAAAGTACCGGAGGAAAGTATGAAAGAAGAAGCAGGTCATTGAAGCCATGCGAACTATATGTGCATGCACGCAGATACAAGCCGCTTGGCCTTAAATGTCTGACCACTTATTCTTACTGACATAACGTAGACCGTGTCTGGAAAGCAGGCACAACGTGGCTGTTACGTGACGTAAATAATAGAGCAATATCAGGATCGTCTGGCGAAAGGAAGCTGTTGTGTGTAATTACGTAGAACATTTCCGTTCGCGATCTTCGTTCCTTGCGAAATTGTGTAACGAGTGAAACGATTAAGGACAATACCAAGCGACTCAACATGTTCTATTCTCGTTGTTCTACTTGTCGAGCAGCATTCTACAATGTTCGTTTCTATTTTGTCAGGAGTTGTATGGCGTAGTTGAAGGGTTAGATTGTGTATTTAAATGTCCCGCCATTTTTCTTGGATACTGATGGCTTGTTTTAGAGTAGATCGAAGCTTCCGTTTGTGTTGCATTTTAGTGGATACTTTGTGCATTTCTTTTCAACCATTTTGAGTAATTTTCCTTGTTTACTCGCTCTAATTTTGCGGTACGCAAAGTGGCCTCACTTTGGGGTAAGATTGAGCCAAGAATTTTCCACGTCTTACCGACTGAAACGTGAAAATTTTCTCCAGTGAAATAAATGTCAGAGACTTTATCTTGCAATCCTTTAATCCTAATCTCTAATCCTAAATGGCAATCGGTTTTAAAGTGTTCAGAGAAATATGGAAAATTGGCACATTCTCATCCCAAATGGCAGAAAGTAACGAACTAGTGAATTTTAAGATCTTAACTGCTACTTTCATTTAATTGACACTGACGTTGAATGTTTCTGCGTGTTTCAGGTATACTGGAGAAATGGGAGTCCCTGACGACTAGAGTAGACGAGACACAAATGGCCACAGCGTTTCATCGCGAATTAGCCGCTCTGCACACGGAATTCAAATCAGCACACGACAGACTCTTCTCCTATGAGATCACTCTGGAGCAGCCACACGTGTTGGACGAGCGAATCAATCGAATTACGGTAAGAATTTTATACTTCTATTGCTGCATTCAACGGCATAAAACGTGCAAAATATTCTCTGTTACGTTTATCAAGCTGTTACTCTTTCTTACAAATTACGTGTTACGTTATGTGAGATGTTCCAACATAAGCCGTTGCTTATATTTTCTTCTACATATCCTTTACTCTTCTCTAAAATTTCTCTTCTTAAAATTATACAAGATTTGTAAATTTGTGTTACTTCGTATAATAACTAAGACCGCTCTATGATAATTTTGTAATCGCATCTTTTTTTTAACTATTTTTTATACTCTATTGTATACTGTCGGTTTGTGTCTAAGATAACGTAGCCAATGTCGGTAACATTTTCCTTGGTCGGTAACTGAGCCGTGTTTCCTTTCTTCCGTCGGTACCATTTGCGTACGCGGTACCATTACGTATACCGACCGAACCAATGCGTTTTCTCGGTGAATGCACTGACTGCAGGTGGCGCGAAATTACCTTTTCACGCAAATGTGTCCGCAATGTCAGTAACGATATTTCAACTGTACGATATCCAAACTTGTACGATATCCAAACTTGTACGAAGGACATTCGTCGCAATGAATTCTAAATCTTGGAATTATTACTTCGATAACCAAAGAACTACCAAAAAATATATAATCGAAACTGCTTATTGTAGCAGTATCTAAACAAAACCTCGAGTGTTTCTCTTAATCACCAAGCATCCCCTGCGACCAAACCCTCCCAGTTACCAAAAATCCACGAAACTCACGAATCTCCTCTGCCGAACAAAATGATCCACAATTAACCGTTCCGTTAATCCTCGTTCGAAGGAGCGACATTCGATTCCTTGGTATCCGTGGGAGGATCCACCGGAGCGGAACACAAGAGCCCCCCGGCATTATTAAAAACATCCTCGAGAGAACTTAGAAAGGTAGCAAGGATGGTGAAGGGACGAGAGATGAAAGTAGGCGAAATAGAAGTAAGAAAAAGAGGAAAAGAAGAGAACGTGGGGGAGAGAATTGGGACGGTGGAGGCCGGAACAGCCGTGGGAGGAAGAGGAGCATAAAGAGAGGGAGAGGGCCAGTCAGGAGGCAAGGATAGAGGCAGAGAGTGGCGTAAAAGCGTAGTCGTGTCGCACGTACGCTCGTCTGACGGCGACGTGCTCGGCATTGCAACTCGCGAGAGCGAACGCCGGCGAACCTAGCCAACCCTCTGAGTTTCCACCCCCCGAGAGTCATCCCCAGCCTGCCTCTACCCTCTGCCTCTGTGGAAACCTCTGGAACACCCTGGCCTCCTCCTCCTTCCTCTCCCCCCCCACGTTTCTCTCTCTCTCTCTGTTTCTATGCTTCTCTATCTCCGTCTATCTCGCTGATTTTCTGCTATTCTCCAGCACACCAGAGTCTCTCCTTCTCATTTTCGCCTCCACTTTCTTCGACCCTCTACTTCCTTCCTCCACCACAGTCCTCTGCACCCTTTGTCGTCTTTTTTCTCTTTCATTCTCCGCTATCTCTGTTCCACATTCACGAAACTATCCTCCTCTCTCTAGTTTACCGTGAGTTTCTCCCTCGCAGTATCCCCAACATCCCTCCCAGAGCCTCATTGCGAAGACCAAACACATGCTCCCTATCTATCATCAAGATGTATTAGCGTCCAACATTTGCCGGGTGAACTCGTCGCTGTGCTGCATTATGCAGCAGCCGCGAACGTTGTCTAGCCAACGACACCCAAACGCCGCCAGATCTTCCTTCTTGTTTTACATGCATTTTTTCTTTCCGCGTGCCGCTTTGCTAACCGGTCGGTTGCTCGGTCGGTCGACTTGTTCCGTTCGAACGAAACGTTGAAATGCCGCGCGAACTTTGCTGCTCTCGCTTCTCTTCCGCGTGCTAGAATGCCAGAGGTGAGAGTGAAATAGAGAGAGAGAGAGAGTGGGATAAGAGACTTGGTCGAACGTGTACACGAGGTTTGTACATAGGGGGTTGGAAGGTTTTTAGGGAGAAAGGGTTGACGCGTCGTTGAGGTAAGCCGTGCAACGGGGGATCGAGGAGCACGTGCTTCGGAGATTAGCTTCCTGTCGAACTGGGATGCCGTTGTGGATTCATTTCGCGGGTCAGAGTGTTTCTTGCTTCTTTTTTGTTTTTTGCCGGGGTGTTGGAATGATTGGGTTTCGAGGGATATTGTTGGATTTTTATTGTTCTCCATTTTTGGGGGGTAATCGAGGGGGTTTGAAGTGGCAGTATTGCATGGTAAATGAAAGTCAAGTTTAAATTGATGATTATTTACAGAATTTAGTTTTGTATTGTAAGAGTAGTATTGCAAAATGTAATTTCATTTGTTCATTACTTGTGTCATGCTAATTTATTCACTTTTGCATGTTTCCATTGTCTTACATAAATTTCATATGGAAAAGGGTATGAATTATTTAGCTTTCTCTATTTAGAACTCTATTTAGAAAAAAGAACTAAAGTTAAGTTAGTCTAACTCTAAGATACAGAATTGACAATCCTACAAAATTAAAAAAAATATGTTTCCCTTGCACCAAATTAGCACAATTAAAGAAAAAGGTAGCAAATTTGGAGTTGTCCAGTTTTTACCCAAGACGCTTCAATTTACAGAGTAGAACTTTTCACCGAACGCGATAAAGGAGAAAAAAAAAAAAAAGAAGCCGAGCATGCGTAACGTTTCACTCGCATACACATTCAGCGAACGATGTCGCTCAGACGGCACCGAATCGGTATTAAGCCGTCGTGGAATCGATTAACCGCGATCGTTCACGGGTGCAGCGCGTCGCCGACGAATATTTCGCATGCACGACGTACGGCGAAAAGCGCGACGGAATGGGCGAGCGTGTGCACGCGGCGCGGCGTGGCGCGCGATTCCGAATGGAATGTCCCCCGTGTATTACGCATTCGTAAACAGGCTTCAATCGAGCCAGTGGCTGCCTGCCTGCCTGCCACGCCATTGCGAACGGATCGTGTGCGACACGGCGAAACCGCTGATTACGTTATTGCGTAATTCCACGACGGCTGCGTCTTGCGTTTCGATATTCCGCTCATTAGCGATCGTTCGCGGTTACCGCTGCGTGATTCGCCTTTGGACGATCCTGGTAACCCGTGAGAAAAGTCTGGAACCTCGTTCGTCTAGGATCGCCTGGCATTTTTACCGCAGACAGGAAGACCTATTTGAGAAGTCTTCGTGTGTCTCGTTCCGAAGGGTGCAGATTTCTGTCTTCTCTACTCGTTTCTTCTTCGATCTCATTGTTCCACGGTTCTTCGAAATTTTCGTTCTTCGTTCTGCAGCGTTAGCGAGGGATTTTTATTTATATGTATTTTATGGATCGTCGAATTTTTCGGGTGTTCAGAATGGGGGTGGATTTACGTTTTAGTTGTGGCTCATACTACTAACACTTCAAGAATTGCTTTTTCTTAAAGATAGTCTGATAGAAATTTTAGAAATTTGTTGTATTCGTGCAAAAACCTCGGATCGCAAAATATTTCATTTGCACAGGTACTAACAGGTGTTTTTTAATTTTGAACATTTCGCACATTCGACATCACTCAACAGGCTTATCAATTTTTCACCGTCTTCCGTTCTACCGCAGTGAATTATTAAAGCGTCCCAGAACTTCTGTTACCTACTGCATAATCGCCAAAGAACATCATAAAGTAAAGGGTTAACCGTCCCCAAATTTCCCTTCAACCTCGTTCAACTCACCGCTAATCCATGCAAAACGAAAATTCTACCCGAGAAACTCTATCCACGAAAATCACACGCGTCTCGTACTGAAAAGCTTGAAAAAAAAAAAGTAGCATGGTTCGATTGTTCTCGATGATCGGTGGCACGAATTCCGCGCGCGTCCACGTCTAACAAACTTCGAAGCAGCTTAAGATCGTAAACGAGGTACGTATACAGATTCGAGGCGTTCGTCAGGGCCAGTAGAGGTTAATCGCGAAAGGCTTTCACGGCTCGGAAGCTCGTTAGCCAGCGGCTCGTCGATACGAGAGCTATTTCGAGCGGTCTGATGCCGTGCCTTTATTCGGTGCGATCGCGTTCGAACGCCGCGCTGCTGTTTCTTGCGCCGACCGGTGGCGGCCTCCCTTTTAAAAAGCCCGCGTCTCTCCCGCGACGCGCGGCAATTAAAATACTGTACTGTCGATGGCAAAAAGAGCCGGTGTGCTGCACGATGGGGCATGTTCCACGAAGGTGAAACAACGCTTTGCACGTTTACTCTTACTACTTGCTCGGTACAGAGCTTGATCGGTGTCTTGTGAAACTTTCCGGTTGAACGTAGAAGAATGTTCGTGTTTGGGAAGTATTTTAACGTTGATTGATTTTATTATGTGACACAAATGTTTTCTAGTATGTAGAAATATTAAAATTGGGACATTTCTATTAATTTTTTGTTTTTTTGGTGATTATGTGTAAAATATTGTTTATAGACTACCGTTTATAAGTATTTGTTCATAATGTTCTCAACGAGCAGTTTTATTAAAAAGGCGAAAGATTTAACCTGCTTTGCAACTTTTTTGAAAACTTTTTAATTTCTATGAATAAAGAGGAAAAAGTGTGTGGATAAATATTTATAAGCGATAGTGTATGTGATTTAGAGTTGAAATTAATTTTATTAGTCTATGTAATTACTGATGATAATGTACAAGTGTTAACTGGATATTGTTAATTTCAGATCTTATCGTGAAAATTCACTCGTTAAAGTTTCTTTCCTTGGGTTAGAGAAAACTTCCTCGAACACATTGAAACTACTCAAATACGAATCCAACATACTGAAATTTCAATTTATGACGAATATTCTTTGAAACGTATCTTTCCTATAATTAATTCACTTTCAAATAATTGAAACAGAGTTGCACAACAACGACAAAATTGAACTTAGAATACCTACTTCTACCACGATCCACTAAACTGTAAACTTACACAGTCAAAAGAGCATCGATCATTTCGAAAGTCCTGAAAATCCTCCACCAATAATCGAACCCAGTATATCTCCCACAATAGCAACATCCACCTACCACATTCGACAATTCCCATCGTGCACCCCAAACAACCTCATTACCCTCGATTCAAGCCCAAATCAGCGAAATCCCTCTCACCCGAGTATCCTCTCGAAAAACCACTCTGGAAAGACCGTCTCGGCTCCTCGTTGGAACAATCCAAGATGTCGCGATCGGAGTACATCGGTATGAAGCGATGTAAAAAGCTAATTGCCCTGTTGGACGGTGCACGCGTGGCTGTAGGAACAGAGAGAAACGCGAAGCTCGAGAAAGGGAGGAGAGAGGAGGCAAGGCTCATAGGCATGCAGAGGCAGCAACGGCAGCCAGTCGACCGCTCTGTATACCGAATTCGAATCAATTGATTGGCTGTTGATTGGAAATTGAATTAGATCGGAATGTGCGTGTCTGGTGTGCTTGGAACCGCGACGGGAGGGAAAGGACAGGGGTGGGAAAGGCTGAAATAGGGAGAGAGAGAGAGAGAGATAGGGTTGCTGGAGGCTGGACCAGGGCAGCAAAGGGAAGGAGGCGATGCGGTGGGTGGTTAGAGGGGAACGGTTGCTTCTGCGTTCGCGATGTGCCTGGAATATCAATGCCAGCCACTTTTCGTCGCGACCGCTGTCGGACAGCGAGCTTTTCTTTCTCTCTCTCCTCTCTTCTTTTCTCTCTAACTGTCTCTCTATCTCTCCTCTCTCCTGTCCCTTTCCTCGTCTCTCCGCTTCTCCGTCCTCTCCTTTTCTCCATCTGTTTAGAGGCGGCAGAGTCTCACGCACGCGAAGCGTGAACCAGCGCTTTTCACGCGTCTGACCTCTTTGATAGCGTGCCCAGAATCACGGCTCTGCCTGTCGTTTGCTCGTGCACGGATTTGCATCGATTATCGGCCGCTGTGAGGAATAGCGATTCGGTCCTGCCGGACCTCGTTGGTAAATCGTGTGTTGATGAGACCGACCAGAGGTTTTTTTATTCATCTGGTGGGAGTATAGACAGAGGTAATTTCTTCAGGTTTGCCGTTTTTGTAAAAGGTGATCGGAGTGTATCGCAACGTTGTGCCTCGTTTCCAAGCACTTGTACAAGGGTTCGTGGTTCAATTTGTTCTTTTCACCGTTAAGTTAACAAGAGAAGGAAATTGTGTTAAAAATCGCGAGGTATTTTTCTTGTTTCGGAGGGATAGTGATAAGAAACGCGAGTATATCAGAGTATAAAGACAGGAGTTCACAGGATGAGGTGAATAATAATGATATATTGTGTTGATCGTAACAAATGGAGAACGGAGTGTGACATACATATCACGTAAAGCTAATCTCCACGTCAAATCCTATCAGTGACATCGTGGCGTTCCACGAACCTTATGATTTCCCGTTGCAGCTAGGGAAATCCGTTGATTGATGGAGGGCGATGAAAATCTCGAACGAGAGCCAAGTGTCAGCTTTTTTACCAAACCTAACTCACCATATTTGTCGAAATGTCACAAAATTTGGAAAATCTTTTGAAACACTTATTTTCACTAGAATATACATAATTAAAGAACTTAAAAACAAAAAGGTAAAAAATAAACATCATTCGACATATATGTATTACATTTTGTAAAACATTTCTTCGTTACTTTTGTTAATTTTCATCATTCCTATCCAACATCACATAGTCACTAGGCGAACTTTTATCGAAGCCCAACAACTGTACCGTGCAACATCAATTTTCACAAAATTAAACAATTTCAAGTAACCTTAGTACCTTTATTTCAATCAAATTTATCAATCTTCCCACCTGAACAATTCCCCCCTCAAAAATCTACACTTCTCTCTTCAAACGATTCGTCGTTCACCGACGAATCAAGTAGAACCAGTCATCCGTAGTCAGACCACACATCTACCTACCGAATCGTGTCTGACTAATACCTCCTCCGTTCACTTCCTTCCTTCACCATCGAACAAACCCAGTTTTCCTCTTATCTCTCGCCCGAAACACAATTTCTTAAAACCACCTAACATAACCAATCTCCCTCTCCTCGCACCCCCTGTCCACCTCTGAAACTTTCAATTTCGAAGAGCGTGGATGGAACGCGAAAGAAATTCGTCGGATTCGCCGGAATTCCGAGGAAGCGTGGAGGAAGGATCGGTGTACAATATAAATGCAAGAAGGAAACAGTAGTAAATTCCGTCGTTTCGACGGCAGAAATTACTCGAATGGTGGTGCACGAACGTTGGAAGAGACGCGAGATGACCGCAACGAGAGAAATGGAGAAGGAAGAGAGAGAGAGAGAGAGAGAGAGAGAGAGCAGGTTTTACGAGGCTCTCCTCGAGCTCTCCCGCTATCGTCACGCGAGAGAAATGACACGGTGGAGGAGGGGAGGTGAACGGAGAAAGCGGAGGGGCTCTCGTTTTCGTTCTCTTACGGGCTGCGTCGTAAAGCTGGGTTTATTTATGCGGCCCTCGTCGGTCGCCTCCTGCAGTAGGACGGCGGGGACGTGACAACGTGACGTGGTTACTCCATCGTCTACCTTGCGACTCTTACAACCCTTATAGTTCGGCTATGTTCTTCCTGATAAACGTACGCTTATTTCGGTCTTGATGTCCACCTGTCTGGCCTCCTGTGCTCGATGCCGAACGTACGGGGAACGTAAGGTAGCTGGGTTGCTACGTGTTTTTTTTTGAATGTTTATGGAGATCGCTGGTTTTCGATGAGGATCAAGGTGTGTATTTGATGTTTTCAGGTGTTTCGTTGTTCGTCCTTTTTGGAGGGGGATGTAGATTTCTTTTGTGTTTTTGGGTTGGGGAGATTGATTGGGATCATTTTAAAGGGTGATCGAGAGGGTTGGCTGTTAGGATCAGTCAGTTTGTTTAAAGTCCTTTAAGGGGTGATTGAGGGGGTGGGCTGTTGGTATCGGCCAGTTTGTTCGAATAATTTTGTGCAGGAGTATTGTTAAGTAAAGTTTAATAGATTTTCTTTTTAACAAAATGTACGTGAATTTAGTATCACTACGTTTGTAATGAAGAAAGTTTATGGAGTATTACTATTTCATATGAAAATACAGGAAAAAAGGAATGCAAGGAAAGGAAAAGAATGGATTCAAACGTTTTACACTAACTTTTGCTTAACTTGTGACTTACTCAAACATTTCAAAAATGTATGCAAGTTGTCTCTTGTACCAATTTCTTAACTTGATTTGTAACTAATTCATTTTAATTGATCGTTATTTTGGTCCATGTCGTTAAGACGACAGGTATACTGTCTCTGGGTGTAACTTTCGATAAGAATGACGAAGCATCCTTTATTTCTGTTGCAAGATATACAGTTGGCTCGGTTTAGTCTACTGCTGTGACCAGTTTATACATCACCCGCAACCCCAATGCTCGCCCCTGCATCGCAGTCACGAGAACGGGGCAATTCGTTCGAGTTAGTCGAAGAAGGCAACCACTAAAAATGTATATTTAATGTTCTAGGCCGAACTGGCTGCGTTGAGGGATCGCAAGGCGGCGATGCTGGCGCTGAACGTCTCGACGCACAGACTGATCACCGATCTCGGTAACTCCGCCTCGTTCACCTTCACCGCGCTTAAGGATGGCGTGGCGGATCTGTATCGAGTCTGGGACGAGACTTTCCAAAAGTGAGTATTCAAAATGCATTTGATTATTCGCGAAAATTGAGTATTTCTTGCGGAAATGATGGTAAAACGGCGTCACACTGAGAATATTAGCAGTTATGGGAGTGATTATAGAAGAGTAAATGAAAATTGAGGAAAGTGGATCGCTATTTGACAGTTTTAGAAATTTGGGAAACTGGGAGGGTAGAGAATTTTAGAAATTGGGAAAACTGGGAAAATAGAAAATTTAAGAACGTGGAAAAATCGGAGAGCAGAAAATTTTGAAAGCAAAGCAAAATTCCCCAAAATATTGAGAACCAGGAAGATCAAGAAGGCTACGAAATGTTGGGGCTCAGAAAAGTGGGAGAAATCTGGAAAAATTCGGAAAACGGAGGAGCTGAAAACAAATTTTCAAGAACTGTGAAACTCCAACAATTCGTGAAAAGCCAAAGAATCTCTCGATCCAATTTCAGCCCATAAATTTTGATACCTTAATGCAAGAATCCTCCGACAAGATCAATTAGGCGGCACGAAGCGCGCGATTAGGCGTTTAACTACATTTCCAATTCCTCGATGTCTTCCTTCCTCGTCGAGAGAGAGAGTTTCTTTTCCCATTCGAGAGGCTATACGAGGTTATCGAGTTTCGGAGCGTGTGGAATAGCTGGTTTAGGATCATTGACTGACCGTTCGCTGGCCGGCGTGTGACGTTGGGCAAATATTATGAGAGGCAATGAAGCCTCGAAAGCAAACACAGCGGGAACCGTGGACACCATAGGTACCGGCAACGAGGGCTCGGATCTTTGGGATTTCGACCCGTGTCACGGGATTACTAGTTTTAGCCCGGGATCGCGAGTTTAATCTTGGACATTTCTAAAGTGACCGCCTGCCCAAAGAAACCTCTATTTGAACTATTCCACACGGTACATTATTACGAAAAGTTTTGCAATTGTCTTCTCGGGAGGATATCATTACCTGAACGGATTTGTATAACGTTGCATCATCGACAAATAGGCGATATTTAAAATTTGTCTCTTTTCAAAGATACTTCGACTTAAGGAATATAAATTCTTTTCATCGATTTTTCAATTTTTTTCCCAAATATACTAACTCCTTGCCGTGTAATAACGAGCCGAACTCGTGCCACAGATTTTGCTCGAGGTCTGATAAAAACGGTAACAAAAATTAATTCTCATTCCAATTTTCGATTTAATTTGTCAAACTGAAGATTGTCAAATTTAATCGACCCATAATACATCAGCTTTTCTTACTTAATATAGTACTAAAACACTAAACAGCTGACGTTTAAATGGATAGTCAGGAAAAGAAATCATACTTCAACTTGTAAAATATAAATTCTCTTCTTCGTTGAATAAAAATTCAGAAAATTATCACACTCACAAAAATTGCTCGAAGCAGCGTACTTCTAAACGATTGAGTAACAAATCGAAGCTGTGTGCAGGTTCAAATTCTCGTGCGGGTGAATTTTTGCGCAAACCAATGGAATCCGCTGTAAACGTAGGGGCGTTCCTCGAACAGGGCAAGCAAATCACAGACCTTGAAATTGATACGTGTTCCAGGCGAGAGGCACGTCGCGACGTTCCGAGTCGCGTTTTAATTGCCGTATGAGCACTTGATTCCCCCGTCTGATAGGGGTCTGACCCATGCAAAGGGGTTTACCACTGACCCACTGGGCTTTTACAAAGGTCAATCCTGTCCCTCGGACGCTCTCTCCCCAAGAATTTCTATTCTTTGCACGAGCGCACGCGACTCCTCTGTATAACGTACACTCTCGTATTGTCTCCGTTGCCATTTCGATTCGGCTGCTTCGAGTTCATCTAGTGGGTAAACTCGATGCAGTTACCTTTCTTCGATGATTCGGTACACGGCGACTTTCGCTAATATTTGGACACGCTTTGGAACAGCCTAACATTTTTTATATTGAACCCAACGACTTGAGTTTTGTTTTTGGAGGAATTAGAAGGATTAGTGTGCTGGATGAGGCGTGGGAAACATTTGGAAAATATTGCGATTTGTGGGAATCGCGAAGGAAATTGTAAGTGTCACTGTTTACAACTTTCTTTTTATCGGAGTTTCTAATGAAAATTTAAAACGTACGTTTTATGCGCATGCTGAAAATTTCGTCGAAATCGGTTGATGGAGAAACAAGCGACAGTTATAAGTCGAAAGTCGTGAAAAACAGCGATTTTGTAGCTTATAGCAACGTTAACAAATTTCGATTAAATTTTCAGTATGTATACAATTGACATAAATCTACAAAACGTATTTTTTAAATTTTCGTACAAAATCGCAAAAAGTTGGTAAATGTGACCTTTACAATTTTCCACGTGATTCCCACAATTTGCAATTTTTTCAAAATGTTTCTTACACGTCATCTGGCACACTAATCCTTCTAACTTCTCAAGAAAACTCAAGTCGTTGGGTCCAATTTTAGAAAAGTTACACTGTTCCAAAAAGAGTGTCCAAATAGTAGTCGCTGTACCTCGACGAAGTTGCTTCTTAATTTTACATTCGTCGTGCGATCAATTTTTTCATCGTTTATTAAAATCTACGAAAGATATTTGCTCGTTAAGTGAAGAGAATTTTTTCGATCACACGCCAATGCCAGTTTTCCTGGTTTTATTCAGACACGAGCCTAGGGCGGCTCGGATTGGCCTAAAGTGTTTCTATTTGCCGACACCGCCATCGGGGAGATCCGCTAATAATTTGACGTCTTACTGTTTGCCGAGAGGCTTTTGCCCTCGTTCCACTTTTTATTGTGTTGACCCGGCTCGCGATTTTTCCATTCAATTTCGTAGCTCGCTTTCACCGATTCCCGATTCCGGGAATAACTGGTGTTTATCGAGCGTCACGAATCGATTGCATCGTGAAGAAGCGTACATCCTTCGGCGGATACGAGTTTCGAACGAATAGTTCGAGAGAAATTTTAGATATTTCGCGTTGCCATTGATTTATTGAAATTCATCTTGCGTACCTTTTTCTGGTCTATTTTTTATTTTATTAAGATCGAAGTGTATTAAGAATTTCTAGTTTGTTAATATTAGAGTTACTGCTTTCTTTGAAATAAAAAAAATTGCGATGGTTTCCAGTAAATTAGGACTCGTTGATTAGCTCAATTCGAATCAATTGTCTTTCCTTCTTTATCTCCCCCATTTTTGCTCTGCCCCGCTCTTTTTCCCGCCTCCAATCTCTCTGTAAATTCTGACGGATATGCTTTGTTAAGGCTTCGTACTTGGAACTTTAAATATTTAATAAAGACAGACAGTTTAAATGTACAATAAAATATTCAGCAAAGAATTCACGAAAACTTGAGTTAAAGTACAAACAGCGAACAGAGCGAAGTAACTCTTATCCTTTCACCTTAAAATTAGCGAGAATTTCTCGCATAGACGATGATCATTTTGAAACACGATACAAGTTTATTCGAAAATCATTTAAAACCTGCACATATTCATCTGATCTTAGATAAGTCTCTCGAAAAATTGCTGACCCCGAAATGGTACAAAGTTACGTTCCTGAATCAGATCCCCACTGCTCTCGCCGACTTTAACCTACTTTAAACCGTGTTTTGCAGGGGCAATCAACAATTGTGCGCTCTACAGGCCGTTCAACAGTTTAGTATACGTCTGACGGAGCTTCAGTGCGCGTTGCGGAGGGATAAGGACACCCTTGCAGTTTTGGACGTGGCCCTACAAGCCGGAGCCACGTCGGAGGTTGCTTCGTCTGTTCGTCACGTCGCGAGGCTGTTGTCCGAGAAACAAGACATCAGTTGTCAGGTAAGACAGCCTGGATTATTACAGCAACTGGATCTCGTAATTTCCTCGACGACTAGTTTGCTCGTGGTATTTCAATATATCGCTGCTTGCGACATAACTCAACAAACGACAGTTTTTTTTATTTGCACTTGACTATTTTTGGAAAATTAATATTTTTTAAATTATTCCACTATCAGTGTTAAAAGCGATATGTGAAATTCATATTTGTAATTTTATTTTGTGGCGAAAAGCTTGGATATTTTCTGGAAAGGGGAGAGAAAATTGAGAAAACTCAGATTTCTTATTTTTTTTTAGGAATTCAGAGTCCACACACTCTGAATTTGGTGTATGAAAAATTGAACAAGAGATTCGAGTTCTTATTTTTTAAGAGTTTCCATATCCTGAACGTGGTGTATCAAAAGTTTAATAAAAGATTCGAAGGTTTCTTTCAGAATTGAGAATCCTCAGATTTTGAACTTGCTATACGAAAAAATTAACAGTCGTGTAAAAAATCTAATACAATTTAGCAGTAATTTCATGTACTAGTGTATCTCCATTTTTGGACAAACGAACGATCTCTCGTGATCTACGTTTGAAGAGCGATCGAATTTTCGCCGACATTCTTCGCGCCTTGGTTAGACGCCGCGAACCGTTTTACGTTCTTGCGAAACGTCCGTTTTTAGAGCGCTATTCGATTGATTCAATGACGCGTTGTAAGCGTTGCGGAAACGAGTGAGGCCGGTAATCGTGGAAAATGGTTGGACAATAAAATTTTTCAGTGCAACGTTTTACTTCATGAACATCTGGGTCTCGGTTGCGGTCAACGCAAACATGTATAACAGTTTTTAGGAATTTATCGTTCCTTACTCTTTGTCTTGTATTCCGTAACTTTCGTATTTAACAAATCCTCGGAGCTGACAAAATTCACTTCAAATTTACCTTTCTTTGATGAAACAGAATCTTTTAATTCGTAATACAGAACGATTCACCTAACTTGACGACTTGAACAAGTGTGTGAAATCAAAATTACACGATTTCCAGATGGACATAGTTGCAATAATTATTTTTCTCTACACTGTTTTCACGAAGTTTTGAAAATCACCTTAGTTTTTTAAACGGAACACTATAGATACTTATTTATGGTAATTAGAAGATCGTTAAAAACTGAAATATTTGCAATAGAAGTTCTATTTTATTAGAAATCGAATTCACGTTGGAGAATCCAAATTAGGCGAATCACTCTGTATATTAAAATAAAAAGTGAATCAAAACTAAATTAGAGTAAGCTAGAGAATAACACAGTCCTGAAATTTTCAGCAATTCCTTTCCTCTTCCACTTCAGTCTCTCGATAATACTAATCCTTACAATATAATTTTCCTTCACAACCACACCGTAGAATTTCAAAAAATTAAAAGCCCCTCAAACTTCAACTACCGCCAACCCGCGCAGTTTAACAATTGAACAATTTACCCTCCCTTCGTGTACGAACGCTCTCGTATCTGGCATTAAGGAAACGACAAAATATTCACATCCACGTCGTTCGAGAAGAAGTTATCTTCAGGATCGGTCAGAAAATTGTATTTCACCGTGTACGATACGCTTTGCTCGCCGCGATCGAATCGAATATTGTTCGATTCCATTACGACGTACGTGTACGTCTGTTACGTGTGACGATTAGAGAGGCATTGAAATGGCTAAAGAGAGAAGAATCGAGAGAGGTGAGTTGAGGGCCTTCGCTAACTGCGCTCAGACCTGAACGTTTTGCATCGTGATCCACGTCCCCGCAAAGGATAATGGCTATCCTCGAGTCCACGCTCGGTCCTTTCCATCCCTTTCCCGCCACGATCACGCCTTTCCTTCTTTATTTCGCTGCTATGATACCTATTACTGTTTCCACGGACCTCTGGAACTTCACGATGCGCCTCCTCTGTTCACCTGTTCGAGGGGATGAGATTGGCTTCGGGCTCTCTTCACGCACGAAAATCGCGTAATAGATAATTCTGACGGAATCGTGAGAGTATCGATGAAAAATTGAGGTTAGAGAAGTTGGAAGAGTTGCACGATCGTCTTGTCACTTTTGTTTTTTTTTCCTAGGTATCAAATTTTGTTGGTAATTTTTTAAGAGTTTTTTTCAGGGTGAAAGAGGATTTTACACTTTTTTCAAGAAATCAGATTTCCCTTGTAGGTTTGAAGTAAATTTTGTGAGTTATTTTACTCTGTTTAAATGAAGCTTTGCACTTGCAAGGTAATTTTTATTTAGAAACTAATTTTTTCCTAATTTATCTTTATTAATTTTTTAATTTTCTGCTTTCTCGTATATTTACACTTGTTCTGTTGGGTGTGTTAAAAAATATTTTCCACGAAACACTTGCTCTTCTAATGTAAATCTACGAGAAGATCGATGCAACACATATTCCATTTCGACGATCACTGATAATTGCGAGGAACGAATTGTGCGGTCAGCAATTAAACGCTATCAGGACTGGAAACGACGAAATCCTTGCTGAATCGTTTAGCCGATATTCCCACGGCATCCTTGATTTTCAATCGGTTAGATAGCTGCTAGCAATTATTCAACGTCCTTGGATGGGGTAACGGTTCCCGTGGGTATCACTTGTGTGCATAAAACCATTTCCCCGCTTAGATTGGCTGAGCGGAAGAACTCCTGGGGATATGGTTCTCCTAAGGAAGGCGAGATTATAAGTCGAATCATGTTTATTGGTTCGTCTTCTCCACCGCGGAAAAGCCTCTTCTTCTTCTTCGACTCTCTGTTTTTTCTTCTTCTGCAGAAACATTGGATAGCGAAGGGTGTTCTCTCAAAGGGATCAGAGAACCATGCTGTTATTTATCTGACCCAATAGATAGAATTTTCTTTGTATACGAAAACCAATACCATTCTTAGAAGTATTTTTTGTTTTTAGTGTAGCCATTTGTGTGGTCACCTTCGAACTTTGTTTTGCAAATACATATTGAGATTGTCGCACAAAGCATATGCAATGTTAATTTATTATTTCAAAATTGTGTAGGTATTTAATTCGAAACAAAATTCCACTCGTATCTTTTCTGTTGACAATCGTCCACATTCAAGGAGTGAAAATCGCCTTCAAAGATAAGGGTAATAAATATATTTGGTCAGACTAATTTATTATCTTTCGTTTTTCAAATTTATTGTTGAAAAATTCAAAATTCCTCAATTTACATCTCTAACATCTTTAATAATTTTCCAGATATCAGACTAAATATATTTACTACCTCTATTGCTACCATAAAAGAATACTCGTCGAATATTTTTTTAACAGCTATTACACACAAAAGTTTCATCAAACCCGATGCTTATCACTCGGAGATGTTCCCTTTCAACCATCAATCGCTCGTCGATCACACGAAGCAAACAATTAAACGGCGACGAAACTACGAAACAGAAGCTTCGTCGAGAATTCGTAGGCGGGCAAGGTAATAAGTGGAGCGATCGCGCGGAACCAGTTATTCTAATCGCGTAGCTGGAAGGGCGAGGGAGAGAAAAAAAAAATGAGCAGCGTCGACGTGGAAATATCGCGTGGCGGGCGGCACGTTTCCCTGACAAGCGGAACACGGACCAGGCCAATCGGAAGTCGTGATAACAAACCTGCCACCTGCTTCACCTCGAGCTACTTTTCTCCTTAAGTCCATAAAAGCGTGTGGAGGTGGTTCGCGGGGCCGACCTTGCCCGAGAGATTTACTTTATATGCAAATGCAGGACGGATATATGGTGGAAATACGGGGGATGGGATGCGATGGCGTTTAACCGAAACACGATATCGACAAGTGTCATCTGTCAAACGTTACCCTCTAATCTGACCCCCCGTCTTTCCCCTTCTGACGGCACCTTCCGGAAAAGTATCGCAGGACTATTTATAGTGCGTATATAATCCCTCTTCGCGACGAGCAATTTTCCTTTATTAACAAAGTTGTTCATGGCTGAGCCGAGTTTTCAGCGGGACTCTCGAAGCTTATGGGGTGGAATTCGTGTTACAAATCACTGTCTTATGTGGGAGTGGTTTGGTCGAGGGATGCGCGAAGTGCATTGTGAGTTCGAGGTGGCGTTAAATGATAGCTGATTTCGAGTATCGAAGTATCTTAACCGTTTGGGTACTTTCGATGAGTGGATTCGTTGTTTATTTCTTTTTCCAAAGTGGACAGTGAGGAGTTCGATATTTTGTTCATTTAGCAATTTTATGCTTGCACTGAGATTTTTAGGAGGTTATTGATTTGTAAATTTCTTCAAATTAAATTTGTACGCAAAGTGTCACGAAACACTGTTCTTCGCAATAGAGTGAAAAATAACGAAGATATTTAGAATTGGGAGTTTTTCCTAAGAGACGTAGAAGACGGAAAGTACATATTTCTCTCTCACTAACAATCTTTAATTAAGTTGCATCGACCTATTCTTAATTTGCAAATTTCTCCAAATTAAATTTGTACGCAAAGTGTCACGGAACACTGTCCTTCGCAATAAAGTAAAAAATACGGAAGATAGTTAGATTAGAAGACGTAAAGTACATATTTCTCTCTCACAAGAAAGCTCGATCAGTCGCAGCAAAATTTCTCCACCTCCCAAATTACCAAATTTCCCACCAAGCAACGTACCAATCACCCCACAGAACAAGAAGAAGAAAAAACAGCAGCACAAATCGAGCTGTCGCAACTACCAATTGTCCCCGCGCTTATTTCGCCTGTCTAGAAGACGTATGGCTCGCGACGCGATATTTTCACCCTAAGAAAGGTAAGAGAGAAGGCACGGGCAGCAACCCCCATGAACGAGAACCAAGCTGCACTCATTTCGCGAGTCGCTTTCGAGCGTGTTCAAAGTCCCGTCAAGAACAGAATAATCCGCTCGGTTTCGTCTCGATCTACAACACTCGTGGGGATAATTTCATGCACTCCAGGTTACATCTTTCTTTCTCCTCTTGCCGATACGACCCTTTACCCATCGTGGAAGAGACGCGTTCCAATGTGCTCGACAAAGTGCTCGACATTACGA